ACAGGCTCACATTAATAAAATTTCTTTGGATAGCGTGATGCTTTGAACTTTTTCCTCTTCTTTCGACCAAGTTTATTTATAGACTCTAGCAAGTCCCTAGGAAAAGCATAACAGGTGCTTTATCAGAGTTTACCACCTTGTTTCTCTAACAGCCACTCTGCCAATATGGCAGAAAGTTGTCTTCTTAATCAGGCAGGTAGACAACAATTTAATAGTGGACAGTTGTCTCCAAATGTGTCACGATACCAGAAAATTAATTTTACTGCTGTAATTAGAACCATGTTATTTTTCTAAAGGAGAATTTTTTTCTTTCGAGATAGGGTCTTGCTTTGTTGCCCCAGCTAGAGTGCAGTGGCATCATCATAGCTAACAGCGACCTCAAACTCTTGGACTTGAGTGATCCTCCTGCCTCAGCCTCCTAAGTAGCTGGGACACAAGGCACGCACCACCACAAAATGCCTGGCTAATTTTCTTTTTTGTAGTGATGGGGGGGTCTCACTCTTGCTCAGATTGATCTTGAACCCTGGCCTCAAGTGATCCTCCTGCCTGCCAAAGGAGTGAGCCACTGTGCCCAGCCAAGAGAAAAATGTTTTTTTAAAAAAGAATAACATTTTCCAAATTACAGTAGTTAAAAATATCAAGCATTTTATTTACATGAGTTTTCTCACTGGTGCATCTATACTTTGCAAACTTATAAATTATAGCAGGGAATACAGAAACAAATGTAGATTAGGGGTTTCTTTTTACAAACTCAACATGGCAAAATAATGGTGGAAATTCATAGTTAGCAACAATTTTGAATTGACTGCAAGTTCCTAGGAATGTCATTTAACCTTCTTATTATAGTTTCAAATCACAACTGGGGTAACATGCTAATTTTTATCTGATTTTTTTTTTTTTTTTTTTTTTTTTAGAGACAGAGTCTCACTATGTTGCCCAGGCTCGAGTGCAGTGGCTATTTACTGGCCCAATTATAGCACACTACAGCCTCGAACTCTTAACCTCAAGTGATCCTCCTGTCTCAGCCTTCCAAGTAGCTGGGACTACAGGCACGCACTATGTCCTGCTCATTATTTGATTTTTAAATCTGCACATTTCTTCTCAACAGTTTCATTTCCACTCAGTCACTTTTTTTCCTAATTTAGTTTTTCTTTTTTATGAGTTATTCCTGTGCCTAATTTAAAGAGTCAAATGCTTTCCAAGACTTATCATGAATAAATATTGGTTCCCAGCTCCTCTCCCTGTCCCCACTTAATCTCTTTTCCTTCTTTAGAGGCAACATTTTTAACTTCTTAATTTTTAATTTTTTGGTGTTTATAGCTTTAAATAACATGCTTATATTGCTACCTTCATTTCTTTAAGTTACAGGCGGTATCTAATTATTTCCACTATCCTAGATCAGGATTTTCCTCTCTCTTAGATCTCTTCACCTCCTCTACACACATGAACAATTCCTATACACTCATTTTCTCAGGATAGTTTCATTACAATTTTAGCTTAATAATTTGACTATATAAATTTTACTCATAGCTGAGCCAAGTTTAGCCCCTGACAAGGCATAACTAAAGAAATAATTAGGGAATTGGAATATAGGTTTAAATATTTACCCAAAATTCAGCTCACATAGATAAAAAGAAGAGAAATTGAGAAATAGAGGTTAAAGGGACATGAAGGATAAAATAAGAATGCTCAATACATGTCAGTGTGGGTTCAGGAAGGATGAAATTAAAAGAATAAGGGAGAATTAAGTGTCAAGGGGATAATTTAGATTAAGGAAGAACAATCAAATGACTAGCCAGAAATTCTTTTTAAAAAATAGTACTGCTATCCGTAAAGACTAAAGGTGAAATGATGATTTTCCCTGATAATGTCTAAGAGAGTTGACTGTTCACAAACCCTTAACACTATATGATGTACTTCCATTTTTTAATTTATTTTTATTTTTTTTTTGAGACAGAGTCTTGCTTTGTTGCCCAGGCTAGAGTGAGTGCTGTGGTGTCAGCCTAGCCCACAGCAACCTCAAACTCCTGGGCTCAAGCAATCCTCCCGCCTCAGCCTCCCAAGTAGCTAGGACTACAGGCATGCGCCACTATGCCCCGCTAATTTTTTCTATATATATTAGTTGGCCAATTAATTGCTTTCTATTTTATAGTAGAGGTGGGGTGTCACTCTTGACCATCTGGGGGATGGTCATGCTGGAAACTCAGACTTGTGGGGGGAGGGGAGGAGAGGGCATTTATTGAAACCTTAAAATCTGTACCCTCATAATATGCCGAAATTAAAAAAAAATTAAAAAAAAACAAAACAACCTCAGATCACTGGGCTCCAGCCCCAAAGTTTCTGATTCGATAGGTCTTGGATGGCTCACAAAAAAATTGCATTTCAAACAAGTGCCCAGGTGATGCTATTGTTGCTGTTCCAGGGGTCTCACTTTAAGATCTACTGGATCACACAATAGCATTTCATAGCATAAAACATAACACTACACAATATAGCATAGCATAGGGATAGCACACCACAACACAATATAGTCATATTGCTTAATGACAGGGATACATTCTGAGAAATGTGCTATTAGTCAGTTTCATCATTGTGCAAACACCATAGAGTGTACTTACCAAACCCAGATGGTATAGCTACTGCACGCCTGGGCCATATGGTATGGCTCATTGCTCCTAAGCCACACACCTGTACAGCATGTTACTCTACTCAATACCGTAGGCAATTATAACACAATGGTAAGTATTTGTATATCTAAACATTAAAAAGGTACAGTAAAAATATGGTATAAAAAAATACAAAATGGGCCAGGCGAGGTGGCTCACGCCTGTAATCCTACCACTCTGGGAGGCCGAGGCGGGTGGATTGCTCTAGGTCAGGAGTTCAAAACCAGCCTGAGTAAGAGCGAGACCCCTGTCTCTACCATAAATAGAAAGAAATTAATTGGCCAACTAATATATATAGAAAAATTAGCCGGGCATGGTGGCGCATGCCTGTAGTCCCAGCTACTCGGGAGGCTGAGGCAGGAGGATTGCTTGAGCCCAGGAGTTTGAGGTTGCTGTGAGCTAGGCTGATGCCATGGCACTCACTCTAGCCTGGGCACCAAAGCAAGACTCTATCTAAAAAAAAAAAAAAAAATACAAAATGGCACACCTGTATAGGGTATTTGCCATGAATGGAGCTTACAGGAGTAGAAGTTGCTCTTGGTGAGTCAGTGAGTGAGGAGTGAGTGAACGTGAAGGCCTAGGACATTACTGTGCACTACCGTAGGCTTTATAAACAATGGACAGTTAGGCTATACTAAATCAATAAAAAATATTTCTTTCTTCAATAATAAATTAACCTTAGCTTACTATAACTTTTTTACTTTAGAAACTTTTTCATTTTTTAAAAATTTTGGCTCTTGCAATAAAGTCTAAAATTTATTGTACAGCTATACAAAAATATTTTTATATCCTTATTCTACAAGTTTTTTCAACTTTTAAATTTTTTTTTAATTTTTACACTTTTTGAACAACAAAAAAAATTAGTTAAAACTTAGACACAAACACACACATTAGCCTAGGTCTACACAAGGTCAGGATCATCAAAATGTCACTAGGCTACGGGAGTTTTTCAGCTCCATTATCATCTTAGGGGACCAGCATCGTATATGCAGTCTGTCATTCACCGGAACTTGTTATGCAGCGCATGACTACATAACACAAACATCCTACTTTCCCAGTTCCTATTCCCCTATTGCTTTGCTTTTTAAAAAATAAATTCTGCCTCAGTTCTGATCTCCAGATCAAATACTCCTTAGTAACCTGCACTTAAAGTGTAAAATAAGTCGCAAAAAGATCAGCAGATATTATAGTTCTGCTCCTGCCTGAAGCTAAAAGATAGGGAAGGAGCCGTCTAGCACTTGCCAGGCTAGACTATTTGCCATGTCACTTCCTGGCACATAATTGTGCTGCTTGCTGACAACTATTCTACTTTCTGTCCTTCCATAAATTGTAAATGACAGTTTGGAAGCTGGTGGCTGAAAATTCAGAAAAAGAAACCTTTACAAAGAGAGGCAAGGATAAAATCATGGTCAATTTAAAGTGGTTACTGATAAGCTGGCCCTGAGAAGTATCCTCAAGTTAGCATACTGTGAAAGAAATGGAATTTCCCCGTCTCTTCCTCTTCCCCACCTCCGCTCCTGCTAGCTAGAGTCTCAAAGCATGTGATTCACTCAAAAACTAAATTTCGCTGGAGTTGGAAAGCCTAGTGCACAGACACCTTTCTTTGTCTGTTAGAACAACACACAGTTGAATTTTGCACAAGGGTAGACAGAAAAGCTTCAATCATGCCCACGTACTGCCCTATAACTCGCAGCTTGCACCCACCTCCCTAACGACATGCTTCAAAAGTCTATCAAAAAAAAAAAAAAAAAGCCATCCTTTAAAAAAGCAAATCTGCCATTTTCCAGGTCTAATATTTGGTCATCTTTGGCTCACTTCCCAGAAACTGGTCAAAATAATCCTTCTGCCCTAGCAGCTACACGATTTAAGACATGCTTTGTTAACCTCCTAGGGGAGATGGATCCGCCTAGTTCACCAATTTCACATCCACTCCCATTGTGCCCAGAGTCTCAATGAGTGGGACGAGACAGCCAGCCTGAGTTAAATAACCAAGCGGGGCCAGACTTCATAGAAATACACAAAACAGAGACCAGAGCAAATCTCCTTAGTCCTTGTGGGAATCACATGTAAGACCTTGACCTTCTTTTACCACTACCCAGCCCGCTGAGCTAACAACCCATAGGTCCCCAGAACAGACTTTCGTGATTGCCTCTATTCCTTCAAACATTTGCAGACCTTAGCACCTTCAGGGATTTCTGGTTTTAAACTCTTTCCAGCACCTAATTTTGCCTCCCAACAAGTTTTGATTCTTTGCCCTTTCCCATGAGAAGCCCGAGAATAAGGACCAGGGCATAGGGCCATCTCCCGCTGTTCCGTCTTCTTGATCTAACTTACCTTTTCAACTGCAGCCAAGTCTCCTAAGTTTGCCTGTAAACCAAGCCCAGCTGCAGACATTTGAGGGTGTGCTCTGCTCAGGGTACTGTGCTGAGGGCACAAATTGTAAGAAGTCAAGCACTAAATGGGAGGCACAAAGCATCAGTGCAGAATGACTGTAGAGGAGGAAGTTATCCCCAAATGCTGGGCCTCAGAGAGGACATGACCTTGCAGCAAAGAGAGAGCATAACTACAAGAAACTTCTAGAGATAGGATTCCAAGGAAGGGGAACATCAGAAGCCAAGGAAGTAGTGAGGTACAGTGAAAAGAACAAGGGTTTGGGGGTCAGACACACCTGGGTTTGAAGCTATTGCCTAGATGTGTGAATGGTGTGAGCTACTTCATTAATCTAGAGCCCTCGATTTCCTTATCTGTGAAGGAGATGTAATAATATTCTCTTGAAGTGTTGTCCTAAAACTACCCAAAAACAAACAAAAAAAGATGTAAAATTTTCAATGTAGATCTCAATCAATGGACCTATTGCTATCAAAGGCCTAGATGTGGACCTAAACATGAGGTAGAAAGAAAACAATGAGTAGGGCCAGTTTGGTTGGAGTAAAGGCTTTTCACAAAGGATTAGGGGAAACATTAGAAGAAGAAAACCAAATCAGGCTGGGCATGGTGGTTCACACCTGTAATCCTAATGTTCTGGGAGGCTGAGGTGGGAGGATCACTTGATGCCAGGAGTTCAAGACCAGCCTAGGCAACAGCAAGAACCCATCTATACAAAAAATTTTAAAAATTAGTGGAGCATGGTGGTGCACACCTGTAGTACCAGTTACATGGAAGGTTAAGGCAAGAGAATTGCTTGAGGTCAGGAATTTAAGATTGCAGTGAGCTATGGTGATGCCACTGTACTCTAGCCCAGTTGACAGTGCAAGATCCTGTCTCAAAAGAAAAAAAAAAGCTTGAGTTCAGCCACCTCTTGTTCTCTCCTGCCCTCTTACCTTCTGCCATGAGACAACATAGCAAAAAGGCCCTTGCCAGATGCTGATACCTTGATATTGGACTTCCCAGCCTCCAGAACCTCAAACCAATAAATTTCTGTTCATTATAATTACCTAGTCTCAGGTATTCTGTTATAGCAACACAAAATGGACTAAGACACTAAGTCTAGCCACAATTCAATGGGAGGGAAAATAGACTCCACCTGTCAGTGAGAGGAATAACAAAGAAGGTGGCCATCTTTAATCTACTGTAAGCACCTACTGTCTGTCAAGCATTATACCAGTCAATGGAGAATCTGTAGAGACAAGAACATATAAGGTATCTATCCTCCTAGGTTAGATATGTGCTTTTTGATATAAAATTGAAACTTTTTCTTATGGGATTATGTATTTTCTTTGTTCATTTAAAATAGGGCCCTCCTTAGTCCCCCAAAAGGATAAACGGACCCTATAAAGGGCCAAATAGTAAATAGTTTGGGCTTTGCTGCCCATATGATCTCAGTTGCAACTACTCAACTTTGTTGTTTGTAGCCCCAAAGCAGTCATAGACTGTATGTAAATAAATGGGCATGACTGTGTTCTGATAAAACTTTATTTATAAAAACAGGCATTCATTCATATTTGGTTTAGAAACCATAGTTTGCCAACCCCTGGCCTACCAGATAGTAGGTGCTCAAATAAATATGGATTGAATGGATGGATTTTTCTTCAGATGAGGTCTTGCTATATTGCCCAAGCTGGAGTGCAGTGGCTATTCATAGGTACAATCATAGTACACTGCAGCCTTGAACTCCTGACCTCAAGCCATCCTCCCACCTTCAGCCTACCGAGTAGCTGGGACTACAGGTGCACACCACTGCACCCAGCTAAATCGATAAAATTTTAAAGGCTGGAATTTAAAGAAAAAAAATTATAAATAAATACTTGTGTGAACTTTCATTCCCTCAAATGCCCAACCATTCCCTTTCACACAGGTTTGCAGAAGCCCAAACTGACATTCATGTCAGTCCCACAGAGCCTTGTGGATATCAAGGATGTAGGCACAAAGGAATCAAGCCATGTGACCTATAGTCTAAGGGAATCAGCCCAGATTAAGAAAAGCAATAAAAATATTCCAAGTGGACAGATCAGAATTTGTGGGAGATCAGAAACTCAGGTTAAGAATTCAAGAACAAAGGGACAGTGTATCAGTTTTAGCAATTGCTTTCATATACCATGTTTCATCAACTCTAAGATGTCATTTATGGGGGGAATACTGCCAATTAAACAATAAAACACCCTAGCCTATAACATGCATCCTGATTTCAGAGCTGTTAAAAGGTGAAAAAAGTGAATGCTGATGAAATATCATAATTTGCTCATTTGTCCAGGTAACAAACCAAAGCAAAATGCCATTTGCAGAATACCTATAAGTCTCAAGGACTTTCCACAAATTTTTGTGACCATCTTCACATCCATTTAAAGTAGCACATTATCCTCTTTGCTCTCTACACTCCTGTCCCCCTAAACCACTTTTAGCTTCTTGGACAGGCCATTCTCCTCCCACTTCAAGTGCATTGCAAATACTACTGCCTCTCCCTGGGCCCCATAGTTCACCTGTTTTCAACCTTCGGACATCGGCCCTTTTGTTTCTATCTTAAGAAAATATTTTCTAAGCAAGATGTTCATGACACTGTAGTTCAGAAAATCTAAGATGTCATTAACTGTAAGACCCACAATTATTTCATATGCCACTCAGAAAGAAAAACGTGCTGACAATTAAATCCTGACCTATTAATCACGATGCACATCCAGTTTCAAAGATGTCAAATGTCGTGGGGTGGGGGGGGTGGAAATGTGTGTCGTGGAAATGATGAAGTCTGTAGCTTGGTACAAATCAGTGATTTTCAGAGAGACTGAATACCTAAGCTGAAAGGTGATGTCACCTCCCATGCCATTTGTCTTTCAGTACATGATATGAGATAGAGAAAATTTTACTCATGAGAATTCCTAGGGAAGCTGCAAGTGACAGAAAGACCCGAAACCCTGCCCCTTGTTAGAGAATTTGGGAGGTGGCCAAACATGAGGGGAGAGTTGGGAGGGGCGGGGCAAAGAGAGAAAGGAAATCAGCTAAGAGCTGCTGAGACAATGACAGGTCATACAGGAGGCCTGTAAAGCCCTCCTCCACTAGAGCCCCAAAGCTGTATTAAATCCCCAAGCCAAGCAGCTTGCATGGTTGTTTTTTTTCAAAAGTGGTGAAGGGGGCTTGAACTCTGGTAAGCTCCTGGCAGAATCAAAGTGATCAACGTGAATTCAGCAACAGCAATGGAAAAGACCTCATGGAAGTCACACCTGGAACTGACAATACAGTGGGAAAAACCCTGCATTTGCTCAAGCTATGCAATTGGGGGTCTCCGCCACAGTCATTTCCCAAAGCAGGAGGTCGGCAACACACATGGCTTCATCTTCTACCTGCCTGGGGAGCGGAGGACCTGCCACCACGCAGAATGCAGCATTAGAATTGATCTGGAGGTCAAGAATCCAGAACCTAGAGAAGTTAAAGGAATTTGACCCATGGAATACCATATTAGGGATACATAGCTGGTGGACACTAATGTTTGCCAGAAATAATGATGCTGTGATTTGCAAAATGTTTGCATGAGGCCCTGGCAGTTTTGGAAGAATAGGTCAGGTTGTCCTGTGCAGGTGTGCACATTTGGGCTTAAGTGGCAGTATAAATATGTTTTCCAATCAGTCTCAAATAAGTCTCTTTAGTGACTTTAAGTAGAGTGTCTTCATAATGAGGCTCAGGAAATTAACTCCAGCTAGAAGAGAAACACAGGCCGGGCGCGGTGGCTCACACCTGTAATCCTAGCACTCTGGGAGGCCGAGGTGGGCGGATAGCTCGAGGTCAGGAGTTCAAAACCAGCCTGAGCAAGAGTGAGACCCTGTCTCTACTATAAATAGAAAGATATTAATTGGCCAACTAAAAAAATATATACAAAAAATTAGCCGGGCATGGTGGCGCATGCCTGTAGTCCCAGCTACTTGGGAGGCTGAGGCAGCAGGATTGCTTGAGCCCAGGAGTTTGAGGTTGCTGTGAGCTAGGCTGATGCCATGGCACTCACTCTAGCCTGGGCAACAAAGCGAGACTCTGTCTCAAAAAAAAAAAAAAAAAAAAGAAAAAGAAGGGAGACACAGAACATTCCAAGATGTAGAAGACATGGGCCCTGGCTCTGGTCTACTTATACTCTCCCTCAGCATGGGTAGCAAGGGCTCAGTGGCATGGGCTGGCAGCCCTGTGGAGACAAAGTCCTCTAGCGCTAGAGGCTCTGGACTGACATAGGGTTTAGATTCAGGATGGCAAAGTAAGGACAGACAGGTAAAGTACCTGTGTGAAGCAGGCTGGGCGGGCGCTGTGGGGGCCCCATCTAAAGGGGGACCAGGATCAGCACTTGCTACCTGTTGCGACACGAGGAAATAAGGATGTGGTGACAGATCTTCCAATGAAGGACATAAACAGAATCCTGATGTCCATGGCAATTTCCTGGATCTCTATATGTTGATAACTAATTTAATTTTTTGAATATTCTGAGTCTAGTCTGAAGAAACGATTTTACCATCAGGCTTCCCATTTATCACGTCCAGGTGAGGTCTTTCAAGGAAGTCTAGCCTGTGACAAGCAAAATTGTCTCTGGATGTGTCCAAGTGTCCCCTATGACTCAGAATTGCCCCAGTTCAGGTCCACTGCTTTAGAGGATGGGTCCAAAGGACACCAGTGGTTGTAGGGAGACCAGTCAGGAGGTGATCACAGAAGCCCAGGGAAGAGATAATCATGACTTGGACTAGTGTGTGGTTTTGAGAAAGAAGAATAATCATAGTTGCTAACGTTCTTTGCGACAAGCTATTTGGTAAGTATTATTGGTTCCATTTTACAGATGAGAAAATTGAGGAACAGAGAGTTTAAGAAACGTGCCCATGATGACAGAGCCAGGATTCAAGTGCAGGCAATCAGGATAGCATTGGGATATATTTTAGACCCAGAACCAACAGGACTTAGTGATGGGATAAAGTGGGAGAAGGAAAGAGGAAATGACAAAATTACTCCAGTTTGGGG